CCAGCCGGGCCCGCGATCCCGTGGAACATCCCCGGCCGAGCCTGGAGGGGTCCGGGCCCCCCTTAATCCCGATCCCGATCCTGATCCTCCCGATCCCGGTCCCGATCTCCCGGTCCCGCCGCCGCTTCCGGGTGGTTCCGTACGGACTTCCCTTCCCAGAGTGCCTTTCTCCCCATGTCCCTCCCCCTCCGGCGGCGCACCCGCATCCCATTGGCTTATCCCCCCTGCCTTTCTATTTGCGCGGCTCTGATTGGCTGAGAGGCCCGCCCGTCACGGCGGTTGCCGGGCGACGCCGCCATGTGTGCTCCTGGCCATGACGGCGCAAGGAAGAGGCGGCGGTGCCCGAGCTGAGGGTGCTGCCGGCCCCTGGGGCGGCCGAGGCGGCGGTGGCGGCCGCGACCGAGGCTCTCCCGGCGCTGCCGGGGCGCTGCGTGGCCTAATTAGACCCGTGGCCTAATTGAGGCCATGTCTGAGGGGCTGCCCCGCGTCTTTCCGTACAGCCCTCCCTTACCCTCTCCCCGTGTCCCGCCCCTTCCGGCGGCGATCCCGCAGCCGATTGGCTCGTCCCCTCCGCCTCCGCCCGTGATTGGCTCTCAGAGCCGTCCATCCGGGGGTTGCCGAGCAACGCCGGCGCGGCAGCGATGGCGGCGGCGGAGAAGGAGATGATGGAGGGGAAGGGCGAGGCGGGCGAGACGGACGAGGCGGCGGCTGCGGCGCTGTCGGAGCTCACGTCGCTGCTCTCTCCCTCCTCGCCGGCGGCCGCGGAGGCGGCGGAGGCGGCGCTGTCGCTGTCGGGCAGCGCGGCGGGGCGGCGGCTGCTGGCGGGGAGCCCCCCGGCGCTGCGGGCGCTGCGGGCGCTGGCGGCGGGCCCGTCCCGCGGGGCGGCCGCGGCGGGGGCCGCGCTGCTCAACGCGTCGGCGGAGCCCGCGGCCCACGAGGTGCTGCTGGAGGAGGCGCTGCTGGAGGAGGCGCTGGGAGCGCTGCTGCCCGCGGGCTGGGCCTGCGGCGTGCTGGCCAACCTGAGCCGGGAGCCCCGCAACGTCCCGCGGGTGCTGCGGGCGCTGCCGCCCGCGCTGGGGCCGCCGCTGCTCGGGGACCCCGCCGAGCTCCCCCCGCACCTCGGGCCGCTCCTCTGCAACCTCAGCCGCCACCCCCAGGGCCGCGCAGCCATCCTCGACCCCCACCGGTGAGCGGCCTTCCCCAGCTGGGGGGGTTTGTGTGAGGGGTTGGGGTTAGGACTGAGGTACAGGCGTGGAAATGTGTGGGAAGCGACCTGGAAATAAATGTGAGGTGTAAAAAGGAACGTAGAATGGAAATAACAACGCGTATGTACGTGTAAATAGGCAAAACCAGAAACTGTAGATGAGGAGGTGAGTGAAAATAAATAGTACTCTTGTATAGGAGAAAGTTATGTAAATAATACGTGTAATATCTATAAATATATATATATATATAATAATATGCGGACATATAGTATTTGTAAGTGTATTTTTTATATTTTATGTATTCTATATATCCTGTTTTCCCTACTCTGTTTTCTGTACTGTATTTCCTATACGATGGTTTTTATATTATATTATCATTATTCCATTTCCTATATTTCCTATATTACATTTTCTCTATTCTATTTTCTATATTTCTTATGTTACATTTCATATATTATATTTCCAATATCACGTTTTCTATATTCTGTTTTCTATATCATGCTTCCTATGCAATATTTTCTGTATGGTATTTACAGTAGAATACGTATTTCCATATAAATAACAAGTACATAAATCAGAAACAATAGTCAATAATACTGATACATTAAATTTTACGTGTTACATTCTTTATCTTACATTTGCAATAGATTTTTTATAAGCATGTAAACTAGAAATTATAACTAATATTTTTACTCTCTTTGTAGTACCCATAAATACAAACATACACATTTCCACACCAACGCTATTTTTAATTCTCTTTACGATTCTGGCGTGGTTTCAGTCAGCTTTCCCGTGAATTATGAATTCATTAACTGCCAGCATTCCCGTTGCAGGAGGGTGGTGCAGCGGCTCCTGCCCCTCACCCAATCCCGGCATTCCCTGGAGCTCCGCAGGGGGGTCGTGGGGGCTCTCAGGAACTGCTGCTTCGAGCACGGTGAGACCCCGGGAAAGGG